ACATCGGTGACTATCCATATTCTCACGTGGTGACGATCAATTAGAAAAACAAATATGTCTTTTTTCTACATTCTCCCGAATGAGCTACTAATAAAAATTTTCAATTTCTGCGATGTGTATACTTTATCAGAGATTAGTATGGTATGCAAAAAATTTTATGAAATATCATATATGATATTACATAAAAAACTGAACATTTGCTTGTTACAAATCAGATGTCGGAAAAATTTCGTGAACGGTAAGTTAAATAAAGCTTACAATTAGTGTTTATTTGTATTTCAAATTATTCTACAATTTTCTTTTTAACGCGTTTCCTGCTAAACCGATTTTTTTGTATACGAAAAATAATCAAGTATCTCAACACGTGGAGCTCGTATAATCCACGTGGTCAGGATATGTGATCGTTAGGAAACGTGAAAGTTTTCACTTTTCACGTTTACGCTACAAGGAAAAAATTACCCGATCGATGCAGAACAGAAATTTATCAACAATCGGTTTGGTAGGTGTTAAAACATGTTAAAAAAAAATTCTAGAATATATATAATACATTGAACTCTCTAACATACTGAAGTAAGTTTTGAAAAAGTGGGGATGGACACTGTAGAAAGAGAGAGTTTAATATTGCCGAGGGTATCTGTCTCATCCCCACCAATACATGGTGTAAATGTGGAAGGAGTACAGACTATTCCCCCCCGACTATTATTGCCCTCCTTGACCCGAAAAAACTACACATTGACTCTTATGGGAAGGCTCTCTCCAGTATGTTATAGAGCTCAACGATATAATATAATTCTCTATGTATATATGTATATACAGGGTGATTCAAAACAACCTGATATTTTTACAATGCCATATACTTGGTCGAATTCTAAGACGATTTTTCGTTTTGCAAAATGTTTTCCAAAGATTGGTTATCGAGCTGTAATTGAAAATAGTTAGCCACTTGCGAGCCCGATACAACGAGCAAGCAGAAACAGCGCAACGCGTCATGAGACTAATATTTAATCACACCATAAGCACTACTTCGGCGTTGTATTTTTAATTTATTTATCAATTATGTAAAACTCGCGTTATCAAATATCTCACTTTCAAATGTTGCGTTATAGCCCTCCTAGACGGTGAATAATAATGGTACAATATTGTATAGACAATGCACTAATAATACAAACTTCAAACGTTCAATAATATTGTGCAATATCAATTGTACAATAATATTGACTGTTTAGGAGAGTTATTGGTCTCTATTTAGGAAGGTTATATAGTCTATTGACGCGTTGCGCCATCTCTGCCCGTCCGTTGTATCGGACTCGTGGTCGAAGTGGCTAACTATTTTCAATTATAACTCAAAAACTAAACTTCGGACGAAATTTTGCGAAAGAAAAGATTGTCTTAGAATTCGCTCAAGAATATGGCATTGCAAGGACATCAGCATTAAATTATGGTTGGATCTACCATAATCCATTATGGTTAAATTACACTCAAAAAAATGATCTTGCAATAATAGCTAAAATTTTCTAGGTGTAAAAAATTAACTAAAACAGATAAATGATTAGCAACTGTTGTGATATTGCATATGTAATTACTTAATCAGTTTAGATGACAGAAACAGAATATATATCTGTATTGTTTGTGAACTTTAAAAAGAAAGTTTCTCTAAAGCGGCTATCTATATAAGATCAATCACGTGTTAGATCATGCAATGAATAACATTTAGCAATGGTACCTAAATTTTTCAGAAGCTATTGCTAGAACATTACTGCTATAAATTCTATATGTGACAAACAATGTTTTCACAGATACGAAAAATAGCGATACATTCTTGATGCGATATCTAGAAATCTAACTACATCAGCGAAATATTTTTTTGAGTGTAACCATAAAATTATGGTTGGATCTACCATAATCCATTATGGTTGAATTAACCATAAGAATTTCGAAAAACCGCCTGGAAGGATTGAAAGATCTCTCGATATCCTGCCAATAAGGTCCTATGGTCCGATCTTCTATCTCGTATAGTTTCCGAGTTATAGGCCCCGATAACATATAATAAATAATATTATATAATTATTAAATTATAACAAAATATATTTTTCGCATATGACATTGAGATAACCAATCAGCGTCGCGATAAAACTGCAACAATACACTTCGATACTTTCGAGATTTCGATACATTCGACTATCGACTTCTCATGCCTTTTTTAAGAGTGGATAATAAAATTAAATAACAAAATCATAACGTACAACTTTTCCCCTTTCAAAGTTTTGTACTAAGCTTCGCATTATTTACCGTTTGAATTGCACAGAAACGGTTAAAAGAAAATGTCATTCAACATTTTTAAATTCTTTTAAATAAGAACTGGTAAATATTGTCGAAGCAACAATTAAGTCATGGCAGTTGTAGGAATTAACGGTTTTGGCAGAATAGGAAGAATGTGTCTTCGAGTTTGCCTCGAAAAACGGATTGAAGTAAGTTTCTGAATGCATGAAATATAACAAACGTATAGAAATATTCATGTATGAATAAAAACTTGATTGACGTAACATTACATTGATAAATATCTCAGGTGAAACTAATCAACGATCCATTCCTTTCGACTGAATATATGATATATCTTTTTAAATACGACTCTACTCATGGGCCATTTCCTTTGCATGTGGCATGTGACAGGGAATTTATAATTATTGGTAATGGTAAATATTTAGCTTTCCCACATACTTCAAAAATACAATAAAGAAACTTGGAATTTAATTTATTTAGTCAGTAAATTTTTTATTTTAAAAAGACTTCAAAATTTAATATTTTATAAAGCATAAAAAGAGTAAAAATAATTGCGCATAATTCTTAATGTTGAAAATAACTCTCTGTTTAAAAAACATTGATTTATGTTACATTATTGATTATGTTACATTTCAATCTTCAGACCCGAAGACATTCTGTATTGTTTTTATTTTGCATAACACTTGAAAATAGAATTTAATATGTAAATAATTCTTTGTGCAATAAAACATTATGAACGTATTTGGATCATTCAATGAGAGACAAGAATTGCTACGTCGCAAGAAAAACAACCAGGGAAAATACGATGGAAGGATATGGGAGTGAATTATGTTATAGAAGCTAGCGGAGCATTCACAACTTTGGAGAAAGCAAGCGTAAAATACTAAATTAATATCTTTCTTCGTATTTCTTTAGAGTTACAAGATTTTAAATTTATAAAATTATCGATCCACCAGAAATTAAAACAAAAAAATATTTGTTTTTTTATATTACCAGTTACAACATTATATGACATTTAAATAGATCTGATTAGATTATGTTAGAATTTTTGATAGCATTCTACTATATTTTTTTTTTAAATTAAATTATTCAATAAATTTCAAAAAAACATATAAAATTGTATGATATTTCTTTACAGCTTCACATTGATGGCGGTGCGAAAAGAATCATTATCACGGCACCGTCGGTCGATGCGCCGATGCTTGTTTTTGGAGTTAATCATACATGTTATAGCCCCAAAAAAGACAGAGTGGTGTCTGCTACATCTTGCACCACAAACTGTGCAGCTCCAATCGTTAAAATCATGCATGATAATTTCGAGGTTCTCGAGGCTATGATAACAAGCATACACGCGATGACAGCAACTCAAAATACCGTGGATGGTCCGATAGAAAAGGTCACTCGACTCAATAAACTGCCTTACTTAATTACTGCATTTGTCACATGATAGAATATTTCTAAAATGTCTTTTTTAATTTTTGATTCGCGCTTGTACGGGATTTAATTAGTTTGTGAATAACTGTTATTTTAATTTTGATTTGCATAAATATATTTTATCGCAGCTTCGGCCTACCACATTATGGAGAGACGGTAGAGGCGCTCTCCAAAATATCATCCCAACCGCAACCGGTGCAGCCAAATCATTTGCGAAAATTATCCCCGAACTCAAGGGCAAGATTTCAGCTATAGCGTTTAGAGTACCAATTCCCAACGTTTCATTATGCGATATGACATTCAAGTAATTTGTGACAGAACATTATGTTTTATAGGAAATAATATGACTTCTTTAAGCAAATAGATATTTTCTTAAAAAGTTTATAGACTAAAAATTAAACGAAGATGTTTGATGACTAAATGTGTCTGTACGTACAATTAGAGCTACTTCTAATTTCTACGATATCACTTCAGGGTCAATAAACCAACGACGTATGAAGAAGTGAAAAAAACGATGAAAGAAGCATCCGAAGGGAAACTGAAAAATGTGCTAGGATACACAGAGGAAGATTGTGTGTCGTCAGATTTCAATCATACTACATATTCCTGTGTGTTCGACGCCCAAGCGGGCATTCCGCAGACTAGCACTTTCATCAAGATCGTCGCTTGGTATTAATATAATTAATAATCATAAAACTCGATTTATGATTCCTAATATATATTTCATAATACTTAAAGTGCAATCTATATCTCTCCCATACTTAATGTATAAGTAAAATTTTCAATTTTCTTGGCCGCAAAAATTGCATTAATACTGATTAGATTCCTAAAATTTTAATTTTTCTACAGGTACGACAACGAATACGGTTACGCGAATCGTATAGCCGATTTAATTCAATACATGTATAACGCCGATTTCGGAAATGTTCCTGTAATCGGACAAACTATTGATGAAAGTGATGACTAACGACTATAAAAAATTCGGAAACTCAATATTCTACTTTATATCTTTATTGATGCTCACCTCATATTTTCTATACACAATTATAATATTTGAAAAAAAAAGATATCAAATACTTCAGAAATTTCAAAACATAAATAAAGATTAGAAAATTCGAGCATGTTGTATTTGTAAAGTAGATTATTATAATTAAAAAACTATAAAAATATTATCAATGATTCGTACATATAGTAACTGATAATGTATGCATTACTAATTATGCATACATTTAAATATATAAATAAAGGTTTATAATACAATATTTGTATAACAAATAATTGTACTTAATAGCTGACAATGAGGTGTTACAATTTGTACCAGCTGTGGATTCTTCGCATCAACTATAGCGAAGAATTAATTTTCAAAAATTCGTGCTTAGATACACACCGAACAAAACTTTAGTCTTTACTTTTGAAAATTATATTGATAATTTGTTACATTATACGAAATGCAAACGCAAATTAAAATAAACTTTGCGCATGAATTATAAATTGCACGCAGATAATATATAAAGTACTGATATTGTTTGACTATGTAAAAGTTTTACTCGAGTGTGTATTAAATTTCTAATTTTTCATAATACCCAATAAAAAAAAAATTGTAAAACGTTATAAAAACCAGGTTGACTATATCAATTGTCGTATCAATTGCTACATAAACAATAACTGCTGTTTCTCCTTTACATTTTTAAATTTTATGTATATTACTTACTCACCAACATAATGCGCAGCAATAAAGTTGTCGTTCTGTTCTGCAAAATTGATCTGTAAAAATATTAACCAAATTATAACAGCATTTACAATAATTTGTATCCAAAAAATAATTACGCATATCAAATATTTTATTTGTCTTTTAACCAAACAGCTAATAAAAATTTTTCAAAAATTTAACTGTTTAAAATAACAATAATACAAATAAAATTAATGAAATAAATATTTTACTGAATATTTCAACTATTTTCAATGTAATAATTTAGAAATCATAGATAATATATAAACAATAAATACCTCAATGTTGCTCCGCTGATGCCTGATGCCCTTCTTGGGCCGCCTCCTCCCCTCAGTAAAGGAACACAATTTTCACTCGCGAAAATCCACGATTAATTATTTTTGCGCGAGACTTTATACGGCATTCCCGATGCGTCTTTGTTATAATAGAACAAAGATAATACTCGCACGAAGATAGAACCGCTCTGCATTTTAAACGCATGTAGAAACATTTTCATAATAGCAAAAGCACACTATTTATATATATTTTCAAAGATTGAGACATATCCAGCCATTGGGACATTTAGCTTATTACAATTTTTCTTAATATATTATCCTGTATTCCATCGAAATAATATACAAGATATACAAAATAAAAATAATATATCAATATGTCAATAATATGCCAATAAAATCATTTAAACGTTTAATGAATAAAAGTTTTATGAATAATGTAAAACTTTAGTTAAAAAGAGCTGAACAATACGATTTTTTATTTATAATTGAAAGTATCTTTTATAATTCAAAAAGTAGTAATATTTTATTAGTGAAATTTATTAATCTAAACATTTAAACGTCTAAACGTTCAAACTTTTTCATAATTTATGCAAGAAACATCTTCCGTTTTTTGAAAGAGAATCTTGCTGTTTGCCCACCCGAAGTCTTATCATTATCTTTGTCATCGATAAACTACAAACTAACTGCCAAAGCAAAAGTTCCAAAATTTATTGACAGCAAAGAATTAAAAAAAAAAGAAGTGACAAAATATTTAAAAACCCTACCTATCCGAAAACTCTAATGGAAAATCCTACCTAAGAGAAATTCTACCTAACAGAAAAGTCTACCTAATAAAAAATTCTATACCGAGGAGTTCGTAAAAAACCTTAAATCGATAAGGTTTAATAAGATTGAACGAGTTTTTCGCGGAATCGTTTGAAAGTTTCTCGCGGAACCGTTTGGGAATTTTTCAGGATGCTAGCGCAGAGCTCAGATCAGTTACCGCTATTTGCATCGAAAATCCGAGAGCGATTGTCTCGATGTTTCTCGCAGAACGCTAGCGCAGAGCTCGGCTCAGTTTCCGCTAGTTGCGTCCGAAATTTGTGTTGATAGTCGATCATTATTCAATGTTCGATCATATCAACGTTTCGAGATCCGTGCTCAACCATCATCGATGGGACCACGAATTTCGAAAGTCCATGCTTAACCATGGGATCAACACTAGAACTACCGACGATCAACATATACCAATTTCTATTTCTTTTTTCTTTTTTTTATAAAAAATGATGAAGAGAAAAAGTGTATTAATCAATTTAATTATTTAACACAATGCAACATAGAAAAAAATCTCAAAAAATACAGTATTATAAATTTAAGTAATTGTTCTAAAAAAATAAACTGGTTATTTTAACCGTTTTGGTAGTTCTGGTGTTAACGCATAGGACCACGGATGCATGGATAGGCTAGGAAAGATTACGAAGAATTGGCGTATAGCAAGAATAAATATATTTCAAAATTGTTAATAAAAAATGTGTTCCTTTTTTTATTAGATAAATTGTTTCAAACCATATGTTATACCATAATTTATTAATAGATTTACGTTTGTGTAAAAAATTTTCTTTTTCATTTTTCATTTTTATTTATGATACGTACATATGTATTTAAAAATTTTCTTATTTTTGCTTTTCAACGCCAATTTGAATAATAAACCCTGGAAAGATATAAAAAGGTAAATCACTTACCGTTGGAAAAGAAGAAATAAAAGTACACAATTACACAGTAAAAAGAATTTTGCTATCGCAATAAAATAACCGTTGCTATTGCATATTAAATAAATTAGCGATAAAATTTCGCTATTATAACTACTTTTACAGATTATTTGACATAGATTTACAACAAAATCTATTTTGTTAAAAAAAAATAGAGAAATTTTGAGATAAGAAAACAAGTTAAAATTTGCTGTTACAACAAAATAATTTATTTTTAATAAATTTATTTTACTATTGCAATGAAATTGTCGCCATTAATACAAATTTTGATAGTATGATAAAAATAAATTTCTTATTATGCATTAGCAATATAATTTGCAGATTTAACAAAACTAATTTCAGCAAATAAAATTAATATCTGTAACAAATCTCTTTGCTGTTCAAATAATAATTAGTTGTAAGATATTTCGCTACGATAGCTTATATAAAATTTGCTGCGGCTGTAAATTCTTTTTATCCGTGTATTAACAAGTTTTTTTCTTTTATTTTATGTATAATCTTTTTTTTAATATTTCTATTCTTCTATATTTTTTTTTGTATAAAAAAATATATAAATAAATGTATAAACAAACATAAATACATTATTTAGGATAAAAATATATTGGGTTATTTAGAAAGTTTGTAATAATTTTTATAATAAAATTGAAAGCAATTTTTATATGTTTAGAGTCATCTTTGTTCAATAATATATGCACCGTTGTTTTCGACAACTTTTGACCATCTTTAACAACTTGTGCATACATTACTAAATAAAGATATATAAGCATATAAAAATTGTTTTCAATTCTGTTATAAAAAATTTCTACAAACTCTCTGAATAATTCAATATATCTTGCTCTGATCCGTCAATCATGAAATATATTTCAAATGTTCCAGAGTTAAATATTCATCAACGCATCTAAGTCTTAGCCTATCCATTTAAGATATTGGATCAAAGAAATAGTGTACTTTTCATATTTTTATTTAAAGTATTCTTGTGTATAATTATATTTTTATTATTATATAATTAATATTTAATATACATTGATTCGAAGGACTATTAGGCCGATAAAAATTGCTTAATCAAAATCAAAATTAGAAACACTTTGCTCTTTTTTAATGTACAACGCATTTTGCAGGTTACATATTTTTTAATGATTTTTATAATTATAATCTAATATAACATGTATAATATATTTTCTGAATATATAATATTGGTAACACATAAAAAAATTTAATTTAAATTTCTTAAAAGAATAAGTACTTCGTTATTTAAAAATAAGTGCACGTACAACTCAAAATATTTGAAAAAAATACGTGAGAATAAAATTTTGATTACTATAAAGCGATAAAAATTATACGGTCTGCAAAATGTCTCAAAAATATTTTTATACTATTGTTCGATCCATTATCTTAATAAAAAAGACAAATTGGACTCACCGATCGATGCGCAGCAGCGGAGTTGTCGTTCTGTTGATCTGCTTAGTTGATCTGTAAAATACGAAAATAAATCAAAATTATAGTTGCATTCAAAATAATGAATATTTACAACATTTTCAACAAATGAATGAATTATTATTTACCGTAAAGTTGCTCCGCCGGCGCCCGATGCTCCTCCTGAGCCTCCTCCTCCTCTCAGTGGTCCTTCGAAGCACTCACACTGAATCACACGCGTTCGCGGCGCATGCATTGCTCGCATGCGTACCTGAATACGAAAATCGCGCGATACTTAAAACGACACTCCCGACATCGCAGGCGAATCGAACCGAACTGTCCAAGCTGCGACGTTACGCGCGAATTTCGTCCGCGTTTCAGACGACCACATTTATCAATTGGGGCACGATTCTCTCAAAACAGAAGGGCAAAGGTAAGCTCGAAGAAGATGAGGTGCGATTAGTCATGCAATCAACCGACTAGATACAAGACATCTGAAAAGCAATCGGTAGCGTTTGACTAACTCCGGTAGCCGTCCTCGACTACCTTCGACCGTCCGGCTATCTGTACAACTAGCGCGCTGCACGTAGAACCGAAGATTGCCCTGCCGTAGTGGAGATTTTATGATTGAAACCGACCTTTCCCTCCCCCGAGCCAAGCCTAAAGTCAAAAAAAAATCGTGTCCCAATATTTGTGATACAGCAAAAATGCGTTCATCTATAGATTCGCTATAATTCTCGGCATTAACGGCACTCCCGACGCGCATTTTGTTATACTATACGACGGAACGAATATATTTTGTAGCACCGATTACGCGCACAAAGTTGATCTGTAAAATAAAAAAATAAATGCAGATTAGTGTTTGAAATAATAAATATTTATAAATAATTACTGCGCACATTAAACTTTATATTCATTTATTTACACACGTCTAAACAAAGAATTAAAATTTTCAAAATATATTTTTTGAATACAAAAAAAATTTAATTAGTTGAAATAATAATATGTAAAAAATTTCTAAGAATGGTGAATATTAATTTACTATTATAAATATTTTACTAAATATTTAAAGTATTTTTAAATATTTTATATGCGCTACATTATATAATATTTTATATGCAATATTTTGCGGATAACAAATAAATGAATAATTACCTAAGCGTTGCTCCACCGGCGCCTGATGCTCCTCCTAAGCCTGCTCCTCCTCTCAGTGGTCTTCAAAGTATTGCACACACATTCGCGATGCGAATTATTAAATCGCACGGCACTTTATAAACGGAACTCCCGACGCGCATTTTATATAATTGCAAAATTACGGCGGAATGATATTACAATGATTACATGATATTTTAGACGACACTCCCGACGCGTATTTTGTCATGTTAGGACAAAAGTAAAACTCGTATATTGCTCGCACGGAATACGCGTTCGACACCCCACCGCGTACGCAACAGGTAACGATTGGGAGGGGGAGGAAGGTGGAAAATTGTAAGGAGTAATAAGAATTGAAGTAGGGGGGATAACGCGCCGATACGCGAAACGGTCTGTCTCGTTCAAGTGCCGCCGTGCGAATAGTAAAATCCAGCTCAAGCTCAAGGATAAGGTCAAATTGGGAAAAGTACTATTTGGAAGAAGTAGGGAAAGGAATGTATACATGCCGATTAGTGTGTGCAAGAAAGAAAATGTGAAAGTGAGGAAGAAAGGATATAAAGTACGTAGGTCACAGAGCGAACGTAAACCAACCCACTGAACCCCCCCCCCCATGCCGTGAATCAGCGTCGAAATTCCTCATATGATATACCATATTTTCCACATTATAAGATATTCTTTGGCGTTCAAAATTTTAATTTTGATAAATAATTTACTATTTTATTTTTTGCTTACTATCGTATTTTGTATCGTATCGTATTTTTAAAATTTTTATCTGTAGATTTGTCAGCGTAATCCAATATAAAAATTAATTTTACTTGATTAAAATTCAGCGTTTTAAAGCTCTTTGAGCGTTTTTCTATTTCGTATTATAACACAAATGAATAAATATACGAATAAAAATCAAATTAATAAATGCCCACGTAATAAAAATATGACGAAACACGTCGCTTTGCGTAAACACAACTGCCCGCGCAATAAATTTCGATGAAATAAATCTTTCAAAATGCGCTATTTAATCGATGTACAATGCGAAATTTATGTTATACAATTCTTATTTATTGAGATATAATTTGTATTTTCCATTTTCTATTACCTATTTTAAGCAAATCAATTGCGCAAAATTCCTTCTTTTATGATAAATAGATATTTGATGCTTGAATGTTTATTTATTGTGAATGTTGATTTATATTTAATTAAAATTGAATTAAAGGATAAAAATTACAAAAAATTAACCCAGCAAACACCAAGTTACAGTTATATAATTGTTAGTTGTAATTTCCCACTCAACAATATAACTGTTATATAATACACGTGTTATATAACAATTATATTATTGAGTGGGGAAATTACAACTAACAATTATATAACTGTAACTTGGTGTTTGCTGGGAATATGTATTGCATTATAACATTGGTAACATTGCTAATCGTTACCCGCGTTTTTATGTCGTTTGAACATTGATTTGTAACATTAAAAATACTCGGAAACTTGATTTTAAGTTTATTGAGAGATTTTGGAATGATTTGCCATATGTCTACAAATTAAATATTGCAAGAATTATTTTCACATATGCACCTATTTATAACATTTAAATTTCTGTACTCACTGTACTAACTCCAACCCTGATTTCAATTCACGGCAGCGATCGGTGAAGCATCAGCTAATCGCTATACTTGTGGTAAACAATATATTCCAGCAATCTTTCGGCACTTTGATCGGCACTTCTGCTAGAAATTCACGTTTGTCATGCACTTTTAACGAGTAAATCGTTTGATCAAGCAAGAAATTCGTTACTACTTACCAAACCAAACGTTGCACAAAATGACGGCTGGAAAGAAGGTCACTAGTAGCGTCTATTGACACGACTGCCAATATCAAAATATAATATATCAACACCGACCGAAAAGGACGCGCGTAATACATGCTCTGATAAATGTCTTTTTCATGTTTTGCATTAGAACATTGGTAACATTGCTAATCGTTGCGCGCGCTTTTATGTACTGTTTGAAACAATAATTTATAACATTAAATATTGACAAACTTGATCAATCATGCTACATATTCTTGCGTGTTCAACGTCCAAGCGGACATTCCACAGACTAGCACTTTCATCAAGATCGTCACTTGGTATTAATAAAATTAATAATCATAAAACTCGATTTATGATTCCTAATATATAAGTATATTATAATACTTAAAGTGCAATCTATATCTCTCCCATACTTAATGTATAAGTAAAATTTTCAATTTTTTTAACCGCAAAAATTGCATTAATACTGATTAGATTTCTAAAATTTTAATTTTTCTACAGGTACGACAACGAATACGGTTACGCGAGTCATATAGCCGATTTAATTCAATACATGTATAACGCCGATTTCGGAAATGTTCCTGTAATTGGACAAATTATTGATGAGAGTGACGACTAGCGACTATAAAAAATTCGGACACTCAATATTTTACTTTATATTCTTACTGATGCTCACCTCATATTTTCTATATACAATTATAATATTTGAAAAAAAAAAGATATCAAATACTTCAGAAATTTCAAAACATAAATAAAGATTAGAAAATTCGAGCATGTTGTATTTGTAAAATAGATTATTATAATTAAAAAACTATAAAAATATTATCAATGATTCGTATATATAGTAACTGATAATGTATGCATTACTAATTATGCATACATTTAAATATATGAATAATTGTTTATAATACAATATTTGTATAACAAATAATTGTACTTTACAGCTGACAATGAGGTGTTACAATTTGTACCAGCTGTGGATTCTTCGCATCAATTATAGCGAAGAACTAATTTTCAAAAATTCGTACACACCGAACAAAAATTTAGTCTTTACTTTTGAAAATTATATTGCAAAATTGTTACATTATACAAAATGCAAACGCAAATTAAAATAAACTTTGCGCATAAATTATAAATTGCACGCAGATAATATATAAAGTACTGATATTGTTTGACTATGTAAAAGTTTTATTCGAGTGTGTATTAAATTTTTAATTTTTCATAAGACTCAATTAAAAAAAGAATCGTAAAATGTCATAAAAATCAGGTTAACTATATCAATTGTCGTATCAATAGCTACATAAATAATAACTGCTGTTTTTCCTTTACATTTTCAAATTTTATGTATATTACTTACTTACCAACATAATGCGCAGCAATGAAATTGTCGTTCTGTTCTGCAAAGTTGATCTGTAAAAATATTAACCAAATTATAACAGCACTAACAATAATTTGTACCCAAAAATAATTACGCATATCAAATATTTTATTTGTCTTTTAACCAAACAGCTAATAAAAATTTTTCAAAAATTTAACTGTTTAAAATAACAATAATACAAATAAAATTTAATTTATTAATTTTTGTTACTTATATTTATGTATGGCATATATTTAATTATTTTTTGCTCTCTCTCTAATATACATTTACATTATATTATATATTATTTTACAAATCTTGCAACTTTTTTATTTTTTATTGTATATTACATTAATAACAATTTATTTTTATAATAATAATAACATAATTTCTATTAAAATTCGTTTCTTTTAGATTTAGAGATAAGTGGGAAAGAGAAAGAAAACGAAGCAAGGAGAAAAAGTGAGAAGGAAGTTCAGATGGCAATACTGGATTTACTCGCTGACTTCGCGCATGCGCACTCATTTTAGGCTTCACAAATTTCCGAGAGTTGCGCTACTGTATATACTGTGGCTCGGTAGCAGATATTGCATCACTGCTTCTCACTTGTGTGGAATGGAACTTTGAAATCCGCTAGAAAACATCGCGTGTGATCATCGTACTTGAAAGAAACACATACCTACGGGCAGACGACATGGCAGACAATAAAATGATAGATATATTAAAAATCCTACATTTAGAACATCTGGAGAATAATTTTAAAAGTAAGTTAATAAGAATAAATTTACGTATTCTTATTACAAAAGTCTTTCAGTAAGTTAGGTTAGGTTAGATTAAGTTTTACTCTTCTTTTTCCTCTTCTCTCTTTTCTCTCTCTTATCCCCATAGTAAATAAGTATTTCACAGTTTGTTACTTTTTATTATATATATCATTATTCTTATCTTTCTAATATCCTTATAAAATTTCAGCTTCTTTCTTTAATTTTGCACATGCTATCATAATGTATGATGAATATTTGATGTTGACTTTGAAGAAGACCTGATATAGGTCGAAACGTCGTTATTATATGTTTACACAGGCATGATCTCCTAGCACTGGCTGTTTGCTTTTTATTAATCGTTTGGTTTCAAATTATTTGGCCTTAAATTTAATCTTTATTTTAAATTCTAGCAATTTATTTTTAATATCAATATCACATTTCTTCAAGTAAAAATATTGGAACATGTTTAATTAATATTATGATAAATTATTATTATTATATATATATATTATATATTATTAATATTATGATTAATCATACGTATACTATACATAAAATATTATAAATGTTAATCACTGACGTATAAAGAACTACTATAAAACAAAAAATCTTAAAACAAAAATTTTATTACTTTAGTTCATTATGAAGTTAATAACAAATTTACGGCTGTCAAAGTTGAGATTTCATGATATATTTTTATATTTATTAAAGTCAAACGCAAAGAAAATTTATCCTATTATCTTTTTGGATACTATTTTTGCATGAAGAAAATAGCACATATTTAATAAGAATTTAATAAGAATTTAATAAGAATCTTAAATATATAATAAAGGGATAATCCTCATATATATTTTATCCTGATAATTTCTTAGTCTGAAATATTATCTCATCTATCTATATATATATGGATATTATTGAGATTTCTTTTAGCAATAATATTAATAAGTTTTATTTACATCTATGATTTTTTGGAGGGTAATAATTTAATCATGAGTTCTTCTAATGATGAGTTTAAAAAAAATATAGAGATAATTTTACGTTTAGATGATAATGCTTCTCAACTAATGAAGATTAATAAGATTAGTCTAATAATAGAAATTAAAGATCCAATAAAACTTATTAATATTATTGCTAAAAGAAATCTCAATAATATCCATATATATATATATATATATACATAGTAAATAATATTTCGTAGAAACAATTTGTCATTTGGCTAACACTAACATAACATAACTAACTAACATAACTAGCATAACTAACACTACAAGTTTTTTCCAATTCTTCCATTGAAACTCGTATCCATGGTTTAATTTTATCGGATGACAAAATGCTATTATATGGTTTGGTTGATAATTGATACCTTGGAACATCAGTAATTACATATCGGTTTTTGTTCAAAGCTTTACGCACTTTGTATGGCTCTTTATACTTAGGCAAAAGTTTTTGGTTAACGCCCGGTCTCACTGTCAAGTCTTTTATCATTACCAAATCGTCCTGTCGATACAAAGTTGGTTTTTTGTGCTTTATATCATATCGCGTTTTGTTATACAATTGTAAATTTCTGTTAGCTTCGTGTGCACAATCTCACAGAATTGATGGCTGTTTTTCCAGATCATTTTCTATTTCGAGTAATGTTTTAATTCCGAATTGCAAGTCGCGATCCGCATGATTTCTTTGCTCATATCCCAGCAATAATTTACTTGGTGACGAATTAATTGCTTTGTGAAAGGTGTTATTGAGTATATATTGCGCGTCTATTAATTTGGATTTCCATTCGTTAGGCGAACTTACTAACTTAGCTAACGTATTCTTCAAGAATCTATTTACTTTTTCCGTCTGACCATTGGCCCACGGCAAAGCTACTGCCACTTGCACATGATTTACGTTGAAGGTATCGAGACATTGTGAGAATACTCTTGACGTGAAAGCGGTACCTCGATCGCTGATTATTCGTTTCGATTATTCGGAGCGCCGAACATACCAAATAAATACATTATGTGCTCTATCGCTTCCTGTGTTCCAGTTGATTTTATCGCAAACAGCCATGTATATTTCGTAAATGCATCCACCACTATCAAGACGAATCGATAATTGTCCGGAGTTTTTTCCAACTGCCCAAAGTGATCAATGTGCAGTGTCTCGAAAGGAATAGTCCCTTGTTTGACCACTTACAATTTCCCTTCCGATCTTTCGGTGGAAAAAGTTGTAATTAAACATTTAATACAATTTCGGATATATTCCTGAACAGTCTGCTTCATACAAGGAAACCAGTACGTGTTCAAGATTCCCTTCTTTGTTTTTTGTACTCCCACATGACCTAACTCGTCGTGATACACGCTGATAACATTATTTACCATGACTTGCGGTACTACAAATAATAATCGTTCCTGATATACTCTGTAAACCAATGCATTTTCTAGAGTAAAACGCTTATTTTCCTTATATTCTAAAGATACAGCTAAGTCACGTATGCGCTCGTCCGTCATTTGCCGCTGCATTAGCTTGTCTTCCAAAGTAGGCGCGTTAATTACCATTATGTGGCGACTCAATGCATCCATATCCACATGCGTCATTTTTCCCGCTGGCCGGTGCACCAATTCAAAGGTATAATTTTGTAGAGCTAAGCTCCATCTCGCGATTCGTCGATTTATTTCGACTTTTTTAAATGCATGAACAAGAGCGTTACAATCCGTTATTACCTTAAAATTTAAGCCTTGCAAATATATATGGAATCGCTCGATCGCTTTCACAATAGCTAGAGTTTCCAACTCATAACTATGATTTTTTTTCCACATCTGTCGTCGCTTGACTAAAATAAGTAATAGGCGCAAATGCCTTATTTTCTTGCTTTTGCAGTAATACTGCTCCGAATCCGAGAGCGCTTGCATCGGTTTGCAATTCCGTCTCCGCATTATAATTGTATAATCTTAAAACCGGATAGGAAGTTAGCTCTTTTTTCAAATTAATAAATGCTTGGTTTAACTTCTCGTCCCACATGAACTTCGCATCTTTACGTGTGAGTTGATGTAAAGGATGAGCTTTCAACGAAAAATCTTTGATAAATTTCCTAAAGTAGCTAGCTAGTCCTAAAAAACTTTGCAACTTTATAGTTTTCGGCGCTAGATAATCCGCAATGGCTTTGATGTGTCGTTCACTCATCGTGATATCTATATTCGAGATCATATATCCTAAATAATCAATTGAATTTAAAAAAAAATAACATTTTGATAAACGCAGTTCTAAACTATATTGTTTTAAGGTAATCAATACTTTTTTTAGAATTTCTAAATTTTGTTTAATCGTTTCCGTCGCTATCATTATGTCGTCGACATAAATTGAAATTTTCTCCTCTCGTACTAATTTATCAAAAATCTGGAAAATACGTTTTTGCAACTCTGCGGGAGCTTCGGAGTAACCAAACGGTAATTTTATGAACTCGAATTGTCGGTACGGCGTAGAGAAAGCAAAATATTTCGTGCTCTCCGGATCAAGGTCTATCTATGATAGAACCCGTCCTTCAAGTCCAAACTGGTAAACACTTTCTTTCCGTGTAATTTATTGAAATGGTCTTCGATAATCAGAAATGTATATCTCTGTTTCTGAACAATTCTATTTAACGATCTTCGTTACGAAGGTCGATGCACATTCGCTTTTCTCTTCCCATTCCGCTTGATTACTAATACCACCCGCGAGCAATATGGTGAGATACTCGATTTAATAATTTTCCGCTCAAGCAAATCGTCCGTAATCTCTTTCAATTTGATTCGCTCGTTATATGAAAATCTTTTCGACCCGTACGAAAAAGTAGCCTCTGTTTTCAAATAGACTTTAAATAGACTTTGTGATTATCTTTTATCGGTTCGACCTTAAAGTTGTCGACTTCTATAAACGTTTCAATCAATTTGTCTCGAATACGAAAATCGGTATTTGCTTCTAAATTATCCCTAATTATCCCTTATACGTAAACTCTGACTCCACAAAATGTGCTGTATCTCCGTCAATTTTCGGAATTTCTCTTTAAAACTTGGCATACGTATTCTCGAGACATGTATCTTTCAAAATATTACAAAACTAAAAAATCAATTTTTTTCAAAATTTTACTCTGTCTATAGCTCTTAAACAAGATTGTCGGAGGGCGGTTACAAAAATCCAACAGTTTCAAAAATTGTAACTTTGCGAATCATCTTGGTAACTGTTATATCTTCGACACTTAAGTAAGAGTATGTTACAATTTTTTGTAACCGCCCTCCGACAACCTTTGCGTCTGTTGCGTATTGTTATTATGTTTTTCTAAATTACTATTTACTGTGTATCACTCACTGATGATGGCCAAAACAAACAGGCCGTAACGTCTGTTATTGTTATAACCGATTCTTTTAAATACACTTTACTGAGCAACTAATACCTGGCTCTGGGCTTATATAGGTATTATTTTTAAAACTTATTAATTTATTATTTTCTAAATGTATATATTTTTTCTGTATCAGAACATAAAATTACAAAACAAGTATTACAACATCTAGATGAAGAATTAATTAAGGAATTGATACCCTTGATTGGAGATAGGAGTACATTTTTAGCGTTTTGGAAACCAAATTATAAGGTGTGTACGTATTTTGTGTAAAACGAATAAAATTTCGAATATAAATTTTTACTATATTTAAGAACATAATACGGAAAGTTCTGATTCTGAGGGTTCACTTTCGAATATATCGAATTTTATAGAATCAGTTAAATTAACCAAACAAACTATGATTTGCATCAAGGAATTACTTTCAAAAAGCAAAACAGGAAAAGAAATTTTAATGTATTATAATTCAACAAAAAACTTACCTGAAATACTAAAAATTAATTTATGCAATATAATTATTTCTTATATTGAAAACATTCCTGCAAAGTAAATTTTATTTTATTTTACTTTACTTTTAATTGTATATATTTATTTAATTATGTAATTTTTTGCAGTATGACAAATGAATTGGGTGAACTATAGCTAAAATGATTGTTCAGACTTTTCCAAGTGAAAGATCCGAAACGTATTATGTTCCTCCAGTTAGGAAAAAGGATTCCATACATAATAAATCAATGGCATCGAAGGGTAAATTGATATCTATGTGGCGAAATAGAAAATACAAAAGCAATCAATTGCTTGAAAAAGTCATCAAAGTAACCGTAAATCAAACGGATATTAAGCAGACAGGTAAATTTTTATAAAATTATAATTATACAATACCCATACAGCATGGAATATTCTATGAATGTTCTACGAATATTCTTTAGAATATTCGTGAATATCCTATGAGTATTCTATGAATGTACAAAGAACATGTGATGTCCCGCTTTGAATGTCCTTAGAAATTTTTATAAATATTCTCAAATAATCTACAAATGTTTTATGAATATTTCTGAATATTCTGTACTTTTTTTAATATTTAGGAATATTCATAGAACGTTTATAGATTTTTCTAGGAACATTCAAAGCGGGATATCGCATGTTCTTTGCACATTCAAACGTTTTATGCACATTTATGGAACAATTATAGGTTATTCACGAATATTTTAAAGTATATTCATAGAACATTTTTGAAATATACTCAATTTTCTTACTATTCAGAAATATTTATGAAACATTAGTAGATCATTAAAGAATATTTATAGAACATTTAAGGAATATTTATTGAGACATCGTACAATATTTATAGAACACTTCTGGAATATTCCCAATTTAAATTTGTATTTTAAGGGGATCTAAAGTGGTCTGTTTTACCTGTTTTATTTAACGAAATTTAATTTTTATTTTATTTTATTTCTATTTAATTTTACGAAAAATAGAAGGTAAAACAGATACGTCTCTGTTTTATCTTCTATTTTTCGTAAAATTCGTTTTTTTGCCTGTGTGGCTTGAAAAATCCTTTCAAATCGACCATCCGTAGTGTATTAGCATATGTACTTTACTTACAAAAAAGGACTTTTCATTCTACACAGCCAAAAAAAAGTTAAGTGTATTTGAAAAAAACAAGTAAAACAGACCACTTTAGAATCCCCTTAAGGCGGTACTTCAAGGAACTTCTAACATTTTTAATGTTCGCTATCACACGTTGAACGATTAGCTTCATTTGACTGTACTGATTGTTTTGTTTTTAATTTGGCTTTTACCAACCAAGTTTTAATGACGTTGATAATTTCATCATCTGTTATTTTTACATGATTTTTCATTGTGGTGAGTCTGACGGATTCTGAAATAATAAGGAACATTATTTTGATTGTTTTTTTTTTAAATAGATATCCTAGCAAATTTTTTTGAAATTTCTCTTATTTTCCAGTGTAATTAAAACATTTCTAAACAAATGAATTTTACTAAAACTTTGCACCACACAGCGTGGTTTAAATATTTTTAATTAATTTATAAATATATTAATTAGTTTAACACATAAAATAAGATATAACCTTTTTAAACATAACTTTTCTAAACATAATATAGAAATTAAGATAAAATTTGCAATACTTACTAAGGACTAATTTCACCAAAATTAAATCCTTAAAAATCAGGTTTCCCTTATGCCCCTCCCAGCTGTTTTCTCTTCCAATTTCGGGTGTTAAAATTCGACACATTACTTTCTTGACAATGATTTGTAGATTACTACCCATTTTTGACAATTTTGTAGCCTAAAAGATTATCATATAAAATATATGTATATTCATTTATATAATTATAGTATAATTTTAATTATATATTTTAATTGTGTGTATTATAACAATCATTTTACCACGTCATGGAATATTTGTTTACCTTGTAAAGTTCTCTCAATTTCTTGAAGCTCGATGTTTGATTTCACTGGCAAACTTTCAATGCATTGTAATGAGAGTTCACTTGTGATATTTTGATTAGCATTTTCTTGATCAACGGGAAAATTAGGCTGCTTTAATGATTCTACGTGCTTATTTAATTCTCCCATTCGACCATTAATGCTTTGTAGGTGTCGTAGAACTTGGCGTTGAAATTCTAAAGAATTTAAAACATATAAATGAATACAAAACGGAATCTTAGCACATTTTATGAATTGCTGTTGCAAATGAATTAAAAAGTATGCATAGCAATATGCATTGTAATATGCACTGAAACATATTTTTTCCATACATATTACCTTTCATTTTATTTGCGTGTTTTTGAAAATTAGTATGGATCTCAGCTAAAATATTATCAGAATGTTGCTTTTTGCTTTCGCCGAATTGGTAAACATTATTATTTGATTTATTGCTATGTGCTTTATTAGCTAAATTTAAAAAGAAAACTTCTTAGAAAACTAACGTCAAAATTCTTCATAATTTTTTCACTTAATTAACTGTACTTTTATGTGCCGAATTTGGTGAAAATACAGTTTTATCTGCTTTATATGTCGGAAAATTAATGGACAATTCCTCTTTGCTACACTCGTTTTCCGTGTCAGTGTCTATATCACTGTATTTTCTCTTTTAGGTTTCGGTACACGAAGTACTTTTCCATATTCAACAGATTCAAATAGTGATGAGAGATTATCTTTAACCAATGTTATTTTGCATTTTCTTTGAGCTGTTTTATAGTCGTCTAGGCAAAATATAATATATAGTTAAGTTATAGTTACTTGATAAAAAATTTTTTTTTTAATCTCATTTATATAGTAAAGTTATATTTACTATTCAATTAATTGAACAATTTTTAATAAATAAACTAAAAGTAAAAATCATACGAATATAGACAAAATATGAACATTTATCTATTAATTAAATATATCAAACTTTATAAAGTGTTAAATGCATATTTATAATTACGTAGAAAAAAATGCATAAAATTAAACTACACATTTTCTATTATAGGTAACTGTATAAAAGAATTTTAAACTTATTATATATTTCAAAATATATTTTTCCATAACTAATTGTACAAGATCTAAACTGTTACAATTGTTTCAACCTTATTGTTATATTTATTCTGTTTTACTATTTAAGTTATAAAAACTATATACAAATTTTAAAAAATATATAAGCACAAAAAACTGCAATTTAAATATATTTAAGTTTTTTGATGTAATATTTACCATATCGTCCTAAAACTCTGATACTCATTGTTTTCCAATCATCTTTGGAATGTCTTTTTTTTTAATAAGCTCAGATAATTTAGATAATTTTATCGTCAATGGCCACACACATTGCTTTTCACTAGTTATCCAATTATTTGGAACAACTTCTACAGAGTCATCTATTTGAAAATGGCAAACGCACCATGCCATATTTCTGAAAGTGCAAATAGCATGTTCAGACAGAATAAAGTTCAGCTACGTACGGATTTGTTATTCATATGATATCATCACAGTTAAAATGAAACTGATTGCGTATCAAAAGCTGGACACAATGATACACAATGAGCTTGATCAGCTCAATGTCGGTATTTTGCTTAAAGAGATGATATGGCAACATAGACAAGTTGCACGAGCCTGTCGCCTTTTCATTCTGTATCAAATTGGGAACATATCTACACATATCATAATACGATACAAAGATACGTAAAAAGTCCATATGCGATTTAAGAGTCGCACGCTAAAAACCCAAATAGAAGAAATTATTACTTTCATAAATATTCAAAGCAATCTGTCAAGCAATAAAATTTTTATGACAATGTAGTAAGCAACATGGAAAACATAAATAACATACATAAAAGAAAAATATGAAAATATTCTGTTAATAATATCAAACTAAATAATAAAAAATAAAATAATAATGCAACAAAACAAGAAGTACAATCAAAAGTTAAACTAGCAGAATTAAAACTTAATATTAAAAATGTAACAAGTATTTGAGAAAATAAAATAGTAATAAAAATAAATAATGAAATTGATAATATGAAACTAAAAGAATGCTTACAAGATAGATATGATTACATCAATCGGCGTTTATAAAATGAAACTTAAAATCCATAAAAATAGTTGGCATTAAAGATCTTTGAAAGGAAATAGGAAATGATCTAAAACTTTAAAATCAATTTATGACTGATGAAGACAAATTTAAAGTACAATAATATAATAGAATCGAGATACTCAAAAACAAAGACTGTTTTTATTGAACTGACGTATTTTATTCCATAAAATTCTTTAATATTAGACGAAAAGAATGCAAAGTGTACGAAGATTTATACACGAATAGATGAACAAACTGCTTACAATATGGACAAACATTAAACAGTATGACTTGTCAGACTTGATCAATGGCTAAAACCTATTAGGGATTACTTAATAAGGTGCCCTCTATAATATATATAATATATGTAACATTGACATACTATTGACATAAATATTTTAGAGTATAATATAATTAAAAATTATACAAATATTATGACTGCAACATTAGCCAATAAAATTAAATATTTAGGAATAGATAATAAATTAAAAATCTCGTCTTAGATTTACAATCAAGTTAATAATACAACGTTATTTAACATTTCAAAGTGTTAATACCCAAGCAGCATTTCTAGTAAACGCTATGAAATGATAACAGCCAATGCAACCAGTAAACCATTACCGCCGCCGTTACATAGCGCTTATCAGAAATGGGTAGAACTTAATGAGATACAAATAACTGATAAATTTTAATAATTTTAATAATTAATTAATTAGTTGAAACTTATTGCTTTTGCACTTTGAGGGAACTTATTACAAAAAGTATGAAAATATTAAAATTATTTACACGTGCAACAAAGGAAAAATTATTGCATTATTATCTTTATATGGCAACAACATTGATTTGCATTTAATTTCTAATAATAAATATATTTTTAAACGACTAAGTTTGTCAAGGTTTACAGTATAAATACCTAGAATTGCAGAAGGTTTCATAAAAAATGATTTTTTGTCGAGAAACGTTTGTCCAATAATACAAATAATATTATTACAGTATGTTATGTTGCATATTTTAACAATGTCATTATCAAACATTTGTGCATAACAATCAGCAGTGTTTAATTTGAAAGTGCAGGAATTTAATTTTAATTCTTTATATTGACCTAAACAATTTGGTAATAAAGGTCCGTTATAATGTTCTTTGGCAACAATATTATTTTCAGATTTTTTAATCTTGAAATATTGTTATATTCAGAAACACGCCGTATTATTTGTTTAAGTGGTTTTTCTTTTTTTTTATTTTTTATCTTTTTTATATTTTTAATTATATCATATAATTTTCGAACAGAAAAGCTGAAAATTCATTTAAATTGCCAAATTGTATGATACCCTCATGTATGTGTAACAAATTATGTACATTATAAGAAACAAAATCTTGGCCATAAATATCAATACTTGTTTTAACAAAGCATTTCATTAGATTTTTTGCATAATTCACTATGTCTATTCTTTTGCAGCATTCGTTACTGCACATTATTAGAGTAGCAACGTGTGATGTCAAGAAATAATAATAATAAATAATAATTATTATTTTTTGAAAGAATTTGTTTGAAAATTACAGGTCCTGTAATAATATGAGTTTAAATTCTGTTGCTTTGAAGCGAGAACATTCTTCAAGCGATCTACCTTTACGTGGAAATTCAACAGGAATATATTTATTTAAGTTTTTGATTTTATTTGAAATCAATTCTACTTGCTCATATGAAAGCTTATACGATTGTTTACCCAAAACCCAACCATATTTTTTATGTGTAATCAATCTTTTCATCACTCCTAAACAAATAAGATGCATGTAATCTAATGTAATATCTTTAATCAAATGAAAATGAGACAAATTCGTCAAAATAATTATCCCTTTGTAATAATCTTCATCATGTTGTTGTCTAAATTCAACATTTGTTCTCTTTATAATATTTGTTTGTGGAAAGCACAATATATTATTAACCCAACAACCTTCTGCCTTGCATTTAGTGCAGCTATAATAACCGGTATGGTTTTATATATTTAAAATATAAGATTTAGCGGGCGCATCACATATTATAACTTTTATTTTAAAATCATATTTTTGATTGTTGATAAAAATTCTAGTAGTAATTCCATTAGTAATCACACACACACAAGTAAATCGCTTCATTTACAAATTCTTTTAAATATTCATTTGGGTTTTTCGGTTTACCCCCATACAGCACACAAAGATTGCATACACATTGCATCAATCTTTCATCGCAATGTTGCAATATTGCAAATTCACTGCAAAATGTTGTTGCATCATTGCTGTGGGATTGCAGCAACGTTAAAATGTCCGCCTTTAGGAAGATTGCAACGAAATATTACGGTAATATTGCAATGTAATGAATTTGCAATAATGCATTGTTATTGCAATCTTAGACCCAGGGAGAACACCATAGAGACAATATTTTTATATGCAACATTATTCCCCAGGGAGAACATCAGGTCGAAGAAACGTCTAATAGACGTCTATAGAAAATATTGTCTTTATATTTTTTAATATATAAATATAAAATTGCTATGACAATACATTTTAATTAAATGTTTTATTTGTATTTATGTTAACATAAATAAAATACACATAACATTGCATAACATGTTAACATTGAAATAAAAGTATATTT